AATTTCTCACACTGAGGTCTGTGTGAAGCTTTAGTCAAAATGTTTCATCTGCAAATGTTTGTATTTTCAGTTTGAGCAAACATTCCAGGTAAGTCAGAGTTCAGGTAAGTCAAACTCAAATCATACCCAGACAGCAGAAGTATAATAACTGTGATACAGTGTGTTCATGTTTATTATAAAACATTTAAACACTACATTTTGTGTATCACCAGTCCACAGTGTGCAGACAGGAGCTCTGTGCGTCCTCAGTTTATTCTGAGTGATGTGTCAGAGATGTGTCAGACACTATAATCACCTCAAAGATCTGATTGGTGAGTTGAGCTGTTTGATCGACACACAGTTTGCACCACAGGTGTACTTTATGTTGACAACAGTGTAACATGGTACAGACTTAATCTGTTTGAATCCCAAAGTGAAATTTCAGTCATTTCATTACTCAGACAGTCAGTTAGGTTCTTGTTAATAAGTGGAGACATCAGTGTATTCTTATAGTCAGAAAGGTCAGTACAGGTGTTTGTGTTCGTCTGACTATAAACAACAACTGATCCTGTTCCTGCAAAGTCACCGTCCGACTGACTAACGACTCGTTTCAGGCCTCTGACCTCACTGCAGTATTGTTTTCTCAGGCTTGGTGTTGATGTTGTGTGTCCTGCAGCTGTTGTGTTCAGCTCTCTGATCATCACTCATTTTTTCCAGTGACTAAGCATCATGTACCCCCCCTCCTCCTCCTCTCTGGGTGTCCTTGGCATTGGGTGGGCTTTAGTTTGACTGCTAGGATCATCAGGAGTCCCTGATGTCCCTGAGGCACAAATGAAATTAGATGTTTAGGGTCCTCCCCCAGGAAATTTAGAAACTGAACACCTAATTTCCTGCATTCTGGTAAATTTCTATGCATCAGTTTATAGGGAAAATGTCTTTAGTTTCTCTTCTACGTGTTCTAAATATTGAGGGAGACATGTCCCCTGTGTCCCCCCCGAAGTCTACGACTGTGCTAAACCTCCCAGTCTTCTAACTTTATACTTGCACTTACATACCTGTTGATGAGATGCAGATGAACCTAATTCAGTTTAATAATCATATTCCTACATTAAACCTTCCCCGAGACCACATACTCACCTTGATACTGAGCTGCAGTGTTGGAGCAAGAAAAAGATGATTTGACTAGAAATCAGCCTTAAATTTGGTTAAAAAGGTCCTAAAAAGCATTAAATTTATAATCAAGGTAGTAACAACATATCACTCATTAAGAGACGGAAGATCAAAAAGATTTTCAAACTTTGAGGAGAAAACTTGTTTTGGAAAAACATGATTTTTATAGGTTTCTATAACTACAGCCAGATTTTAATCAGCATGTTGAAATCAGCCATCAGATCAGGATGACCCAGAGCTGACAGTAGTTTATCCTGCATGTCAGAATTAAACAGAAGTATTATATCCAGACTGTTGAAAGGTTTTATGTCACACTCCACAAAGTACCTTAAAAAATAAACGGGAAAATTTAGGTAATTTTGATCTTTCAGGGAGCAATGCTACACTTACTGCAGCGTTCAGTGGAAATTCACTAATACATATACACAGAGAGAATTTGGTTGGAAATGTCTAATTAAATTTTTCATCAGCAGAAAGTAGATGCTACAGGAGAGGCTCCTGTTGCTGGAGATTGTGACGGAGCTGGGATGAAAATCACTGGTTTATGTTTTGTTTCCTGTAACATAAATAATTTCCCCTCGGGGATCAATAAAGTATTTCTGATTCTGATTCTGATTAATAAGACAGTTACAGTTTGAGATGCACAAAATACTAGAGGACATTTTTAACATAAAAATACATCTCCTGTTTGATTCTGTCATTTCAGGAAAAGCTGACTTTCAACCTGTACACTTGTGTTCTGATACCTGCTGGTGAGGAAACCATCACAAGACATCAGCTGTTCAGTGTCTGATACCTGTAGACACCCTGCTAGCTACATACATGTGTTTGGAGATCTCCCTCGATATGTGACCCTTAAAACATGACCACTGTTTCAGTTCTGCGGGTTAGATGAGATAAAGAGTTTGGTGATGTTGGTACTGAGGACCAGGCAGCAGCAGTTGTCCAGTGCATCACAGATTGCAGGGTCGTTACCCGTCTGTCCAGAGGGAGAGAGAGACAGTCAGCTGCTGCTGTCCGTCTCCGTCCCTGGGTAGGACCCTGCTCCTGGCACAAAGACTGACAGACAGAGACATTGAGAGACAGAGGCTCATCATCTGAACACAGGAAATGTGAATACATTCATGTAAGTACATCTTTCATTTCACCATGTGTCACCATATCAACACGTTCAGAGCTGACTCTCTTCACATCTTCATTTTATTCATAAACTGCTGTTGGATTAAACCGTAGCTGCTGCCTGACCTCTGATGTATGGCATATGTTATCTAGAAATAGGTCCTCATGTATTTTTATATCTCACTTCATATGCAGTGGGATGGTGTGAGTGTGAGTCTGCTCCACTGCTCTGAAAATTAAGAACTAACTTGTTCTGACCTGACAATCAGCCACTCATCCTGTCAGTGGTTAAATGGAATTTCTCTGGTCTATTTTACAACATGAATATATAAATAAAGGACTGCATTTAGATCTGACACGTCGGCCATGTTGTTTCAAGGTCTTGTTCATGTACGAGGGAACAAGGTCTAATTTAATTATCACGACCACTGTGAAGCTAAAACTTAAATGTATGCACAGATGAAGAAGCTCAGTTAAAGATGAACGTTTTCCTTCCACTTCTCATCAACAACACTCCCACTCAGGAAAGTGTCCCACCGTCTGCTGGTTCCACTGGTCCTGGTCCAAAACCATTGGCTCTAGTGGACTTTAAACTGCAGACACTGAGGTGGAGCAGAAACACTGAGGTGGAGCAGACGTCTCTGTTCGTCTGTGGTGTAAAGTCGTCATTAGACCAGCAGTGGCAACAAAACATCAGCAAACAGGTAGTCTGCTTTGCTCGTTACACAAAACAACAATAGATATGTGCAACCTGGGAAGATGACATCATTGTTTCTCAAACTCTCCGTAACCACAGTTCTGATAAATCTTCAGCTCAGAGGGCGATTTAAAAAATATCTGTTTCAGTGACCTAAAATTTGTTTACATGGATGAGAGGCCCGACACAGAGAAAAATATCTGGATACATAAATATCTGGATGCGTACAGACGGGGCCTACATGAAAATGGGTTTTATGGGTGCCCATGAGTTTCCCCTGTACAGACACGGCCACTTTATGCCAGTCCCACGCAGTTTTATTTCATGCAGTATAAATAAGTTAATTTCTAGTGTATTTGAATATTTCTGCAGACTGAGGTCTTTAACAGTCTTAGAAATTAACTGTTTTCATGTGTGATGATGTCAGTCCTCACAGCAGCCATTTATTATAGTGAAAGCATTTTCTAAATTTCACCTTACTGTTGAAAACAAAATGGAGTCTTGGTCTCTCAGGGTGAAACCTGAGCAGGTTTGTTTCCAGTAAATGTTTTGTTCCTATAATCAAAGTTCTCTCCTTCACCTTGAAGCTGTCCATTTGTGTTTGTAAGGAAAAGGATGTCAGACAGTTTTAAAGGACGATGCATCGCCTAAAGATAAATAACACACACACACACACGTGTTATGTGTCTGTATGTGTAGACTGATGACTGATGGGAATAGACTGATACTGGTACATAACTGAATCAGAATCAGTCTGTGCATATCAGATAGATGTCGTCAGATGTCCCTCCAGGATTTAACGCAAATTCAGATGATCTCTGTGAATTCTGCGTGACTTTATAATTTTGTCCGTTCACTGCAACTTTACTGCAAATTCACATCAGGTCAGATCTCATGTCATTGTAGAGTTGATTCGCTCGGCCTCCCCCGACAGAGCTAACTGTTAGCATCACAAAGATAACATCAGAGTCAAGCTGCTTCAGTGTGTGATGTTAACCACTGCCGCAGGGCTATAAATAGTATTAAAGTTGTAATAAAAACAAACAAACAAATAAATAAATAAAAAAATGCCATCCTTCATCGCATTTTTTTTAGAAAACCTGCAGTGAAGTCATTTCAGGCTGCAACGTTCCCAAAAACCACCTCTGAAGTCCTGGAGCGACTGGTTAGCAACATGAACTATAAGAGAAGAAAACAAAGTGATTCCTGAACTCTCACACTGACATAGGTTCAACCAGCCTTCATGTGACGACAGCATCATAAGAACTTTAAAAGTTCAGTTACAGCTTTTTGTTTCAGGGTCCCACTCCAAGATTATCAGTGACCATCCCAATGAAAGATTTTGGAGGCGTCACAGTTCATCAGTACTTCTGCCCTCAGTCTTAATGTCAGTGTCATGTCAGACGTCCTCCATCTTCATTCCAAATCATATGTCAAGACTTTACCAGAGTGAGTCATTATTCTCCAACAGCTCTGTCTTTGATCCAGGGACCATCAGGCATTCATCAGACTTTATCATTTAGCTTCAGTCACATGTGGAGTGTCAGTGGACATTTATGTGTGCGTCATATGTACAGGAGCATGGGCTTGTTTTTATTTCCTGTCTCTAAGTTCCTCAGTTTGATGCTGACCTGGTTCTTGAGAGGACCCAGCAGGCTCAGGGTCAGCTAACAGATGACCTCAACAGATCTGGCTCTGAGCCCCACTGGGCCTTCAGCTCGCCTCCTGCTCTCAGGCTCAGATCCTCACCCACGGTCACACCTGCCTCTGAAATCTATTACAATAAGACAACATGTTATCAACACAACCTGCACTCGTTCTCACAGAGTGGAACTCTTGTATTTGGGGTTTACCCTTGTTTTCTGGAGCCCCCCACCCCCCCGCCTCACTGCCTTCCTCATAACTGTACCGCTGATGCATTCGCCTCAACAGGTGCTCTTTTCTGAAAGGATCACTTAGGTATATTTAGATTTTGAAACCTGAGAGCGCCGGCCTGTGATTGGCTGAGCTGGCCACATGATAACCTGGGTAGAAATCGCAGCTGTGTGCTGTCGCCCAGCGTTTCTCTGGAGGGAAGCTGGGGAGGATTTGGCGGCTTGGGAGACCTTAAAACTTTGAAATAACTGGTAAGCAAAGACAAAGGAGAGAAAGCACAGATCTCCATATTTTGTCCTCCTTGCATGGCTTTCCATCTGCTTGGACTTCCATCGTCTCCATCACCTGGATCCAGGAGGCCGTCTGATTGAGGGACAAGGAGTGTGAAGGCTCTGCTGCACAGTGAAGGAGTCACCAAACAGTTCAGATCTGCAGGACTCCAGACCAGATCAGACCAGGCCTCCCTCTGGATGTATCTGAAGTCTCAGCAGCAGTCTGGCCTTTGTGTCTTCGCTCTGAAATCTCAGCACCTGTTGCGGCTGTTTTGTCCTTCGTCCTCGGCTGTTTCATCTGTTTCTCTTTGTCTTTTTACTGAGAAATTGATGTTTTAATTCAAAGAGAGGGCAATCAAGTGCTAAAAAAGGTTCTTAGTATGCCATCCTATATTTAACCTGCAGCCTCAGAAGGCATTGCCCCTCCGTTTGCTAAACAGAGTCAACCAATCAGGCTGTGGCATTAGCTTACATGTCACATAGTTGAAGCACTGCTGGGCAGCTGTCGCCAACCTTCAGCCAGGAGGCACAGTTCTGTGAGCTGTGTTGTGGCCTCTGAGGGAGGAGGGGCGGCCTGTTGTATGCACTCAGTGTCTCACCTTCCTGATCTGCAGCTCTTCCTGTGCACGCACTGATTTACAGCTGGTTCCCAGTTTGTGAGGTGTCTTCTCACATTTTCTGTCACTTTGTTTAGGATTTGGGCAAATCACAAAGTTGGGCTGTAGGTTTGAGACCCTAGTGGATGGCCAGAGAGGCTCCCTTACTGTCAGCAAATACTGCGGGACTCTGTCGCTGGTATGACATGCTCTTTGGTTCAACTTTAATACGTTGTGTGTTTTCTAGCATGTGTTTGCTGTGTGTTATTCCTGTTTTTGAATCAGGTGATTGGGTTCAGAGGGATGACTGGCAGCATCCTAAAATATCACTGGTGCAGTTGTCCTCTGATCTCTTGTCTAAGTCCCAGTATTGGCTGTCTGACACTGTGAGTTGGTGCTGCTGATAGAACAAGTCAAAATAAGTTAGAGGTTTCAGTTAAATGAACTCTGCTGCATGATATTATTTCTGCTGCTCCATACGCTCCTTCTTTAGATGTGCTTTTCAGAACCTTGTTCATGCAGAGTTTGAATAATGAACGGCTGATAATGTGATCTGTGTTCTGTGTAGAGCCTCTAACACCGTCCCAAGATGACGGAGATTGTGGAGGAATATGAGGAATATGAGGAGTTTGAGGAGTTTGAGGAGGAGGAGATCGTGGAGGAGGTAAGTGAAAGTCTTCTCTCTGTGTTCTTTACCTCCATCACTGCACTGTATTAGTTCTTAATGATATAATTAAACCTGAGATATAATGTGATGTGAGGCAGTAGGTGCAGGTCTGATCTGCAGGATCCACAGGCCCTATGAATAGTTAAGTTAGCAGCCCCTGACAGTTAGCATGTCTGCTGGTGGATCCTGTTTCACACAGACTCACTGATGAGTTTAAAGTCCTGGATTTTCTGTAACAGCCGACTATAAATCAGAACTATTTCAGGCTAAAGACAGGGGCATTGTTTGTCATCCTGTAAAGGTAAAGATATCTCATAGCAGCAGATACAGGTAGTTAATACGCCACATGTAATGCAGTGATGTAATCATTACACAACAGCCAGATGCACAATATATCAGATATTGTTGTTTATTTCCACAGACTCTTGCAGATGACTCAAACACAGTTTTGTAGCAGGTCATCAGTTATCTCCAGCATATCTAACCAGGGCTGTGGTGCAGCTGGAGCGCAGCACAATGACACTTCGACACCTTTTATTTTTCACCAAGAGATGAAATAGAACATCAGAAGTTTGCATGATCCTGTTAAAGTTCATTTACAATTGAAACGCTCAAAGATCCAATCGTCACTAGGTGTTGAAACGGCACGAGATTTTCACAGTACAATAACCATCTCAGAAAAATGTTGCAGCAGCACATTATCATGATATTATATTATTGTTATTATTATTAATCAAAATGATCCTTAATGAAAACAGAAGGTTACTGTTGGTTGAACAAACGTCTTATCACCAAAACTGATACTTAAAACATTTTGTTAATGAAGTTTGTGTCGTCGTACAAGAAAGACAAACTGGAACAGTCAAAGTTTTCATATTGACATTTCAGGTACGTTGATTCATTCCTGACGGCAACGTAGGGCTCATTTATATTCACTTTTTATGAATGGAAATAGGTTTGTTTGTTTGAAATGTAACTATCATTGACCTCAGACTTCTATGCGTCCTTTATGTTGGCATAAATACAGCCAACAGATGGCAGTAGAGTGCAGAGGCAAAAGTTCCTAAAAAACAAACATGGCGACAGTGGAGAGGGTCGGACTACAGGCAGCAGCAGTCTGTGAGGCTGTTTAATAAATCCCGACATCTGGACAGAGAAATATTTCCTCTATATTACAGATTTGTTCCGTTCTCACATTTTTTGAGCGTCTTTGTCGTCTCGCTTGAACTACGCTACACTGCCCCCTCCATCTCCAAAGACACTGCTCCGCTTCGTCCACAAGCTTTGAGAAAACGTGCACTAATACTGATGAACAGATCACAGAGTACAGACAGAAGGCTCTGCCCGTGTCTGTATCTAACTCTGAGCATGTATGAGCCGTCACACACTGAGTAACATGTAAGAAAACATTCCTCCTTAAAGCTGTCAGCAGCCTTTCATCAGTGATGTCAATTCAGTCATTTGTCTCAGTCTGTTACGTCCAACTTTTATCTACTTAAAGGTGAAAACACAGCGAAACATATTTTTATTATAGTTATAGTGGACTTATGTAAACTTGGAACACTGGTTACGTAACCCTCTCAACCAGCCGAAACATATCTGTGCACGCATGCGCCCGTGTCATATGTGTGCTCCGATTCTTAAACAAACAGCACCACAGCCCTGTATCTGAGCCCATTTATTAAAGCTGTAATGTTATAAACACCAGGACAGGATCCTTCCTGAGTAGCAAAGGTAGTAAAAATACTGGATTACAAAGAGTTTGGGATCGTGCCAGTTTCTGACACCATTTTATAGAGCTACTCAGGTCATTTACTTCTATTTATAATTATGATTTTGGCTTCCAATGATTATGGCAACATGCTAATCAAGATAAAATGATTATAGTGCAGCGTTTTGTTTCCCAGAGATGATCTGGTTTCATCTTTTGTTATAAATCCAGCACACCTCTGTCCATCACAGTATTGCGCAGCTCATTGTTGCCAACTGACGGACTGTTTTGTGATATTTTCTGACTTTCAGACTCTCCAGTGTCTTTATTTCTAAAAAGAGATTAACATCAAATTTCATGAGGGAAAAAGGGAGAAATATATTCAGTTATATTGTAACGTTCAGAGTAATCACAGTCCAAAGCTCTTCTGCCAACAGTGCTGAGTCAATTCCTCTTCTTCTGCACCATGGTTATGATTATGTATTATTTATTTTCTTTATCTCATTTCTTAACAGTCAGTTTTTATTTAAAGTTCAAGATAATGTCAAAAAGAAAAGTTCAGTAAATGTCAGTGAGTAAGTGTGTTAAATCATCCTAAACTCAATACTGGATAAAATAATCATGATTATGATTTTTGCCATAACCCAGGAGCCAGGCTGTTTTGTCTTTTATTTGAAATGATCTTCATCTTATTTCACACCAGTAATATAACGTGATGCTGGCCACCAGTCTCCAGTCAGATTTGTCTCCAGGATGTTTTAATGGTTCATTATTTGTGTCTGAGCTGTGTTTCTGAAGCTCTCCCTGTCAGTGTCCAATGGAAGAGTGAAAACAGAAGGCTAACAGATTAATCCCATATTTCCTGGTGAAATAGGATTAACGTCTGCCTCGTATTTGTTCATACTTAATATTGCTGATATCTTATAGGGGGGTCTGAATGACTGTTTTATAACCTAACCTATGGCCTAACCACCAGTGGTCATTTAGCTCCCGTATAACATATCAACTGATTTACCATCTTCACTGAGAAGATGTAAATCGTTTGGGAGGTGGAACAAATGGAAACCCACAAATCAATACACTCTGGTTTCACGAGCACTTTCATCTACACTGTGGAGAAAAGATGTTTTACAGTGAGACGGTTTCGTGTTTCATCTACAGGACAGAGAGAAACATAGAGCTGCTCATTCACTCATTCACTCATTCATCAGTCGTTCTAGTATTTTCTTGATAAATCATGACTTCCCTCCTGAGGTCACGAGGGGGCGGAGTGTAGAGTTCTCTGTCTGGCATTCGGACAGATTTAGAAGTGGACATCTACGGCACACTGGCAGAGAGATGGAGCGGAGGGAGAGGGGCAGATGAGACGAGCCACCGTGCTGTAAATCACACTCTGAGAGCCAGGAATGTGTTAACGTCACAGAGCTACTAATTTGCTCAGGAGAGGAGATGGAAAACCTTCTGCAGAGCTTTGTAGGGTTTCAGTCACACCTATGTTTCTCTCCTGTCTGATAGATTCAGATATCGAAGCCTCTTACAGATGTTGACACAAGTGATTGAGATGTTCTTTCCCGCAGCTCTGGTTATGTCTCAAGGGTTACTGGTTAGATACCAAAGTCTCCAAATGTTCAGCCTGACGTGACTGTAAATGTTTGAGTGGGATCCTCCTGAGCAGAGGGAAGTGTAATTCAGGCAGGCTGTAAGTTAGACCGGGTTATTCAGGGAACAGTATGCTGTGTGCAGGAATGCTTTCAGCTCCTGTGGTCTGACTGGACAGGAACATTTCCTCCTTAAATCAGGGGTCAGATCAGGGACCTTTACTGTCGAAGGACAAAAAATAATCTGTCTGGAGCCACAAAATATATTTTAACCTTATAATGAAGGTAACAGCCTGTAACGAGGGGAGCAGACTCAAATCACGTGACTTGGACTTGAGTCAGACTCAGGGTTGGAAATCAACACCAGCCAAATGCTGGTAAAATATGGCTGCTAGATTTGATTCACTTACAAGCCTATAGAAACACAATGTTAAGACTGTAAATCACCAGTTTCATCTCGATACGATATGATAGCGATTCTTTGGACAGCGATATGATTTGTGCCCATAGTACAAAGTCTGCCATGATACCATTTTGAGACGATGTGATTCAGGGGCCTGAAAGTTTAGGACTTGGGACTGACCTGTCTTGATTTGGGACTTGAGTTCAAAGACTTGAGACTTGACCTGCAGGCCGGGGGAGGGGCCTAACGTTACATCTAAAATATTTAAGGGATTAAAGATGCAAATTTATGAGATGAAAACTTGGATATTCACTGAGAATATAAAGTCGTACATCTGTGGGGAAAAACTAGAAAACATTCTCTGATATTAAAGTCTCGTATTTACGAGAAAAAGCTCTTAAATATAATTCTTTTTTTTTGTCAAGGCACCACACTGCTTCACTTTACACAGCTGGATCAACCTCAGAGACACTGCTGCACCACTAAAGAAGAAAAAGCTTGTATGACTTGTTACAGATAGATTCGTTATTTCATTACTATTTGTTAGAGTTTTTTTCTCAATAATTTATGACTTTATAATCTCTGAGAATGTTTGATTTTTTTTTTTATCGTAAAATTTGGAGCTTTTTCCTGTAAATTTACTTTAACTTTAAAGAATATCCAAGTTTGTATCACATAATTTTAAGACCTAAATCTCAGATATTTTTTTATCAGAATATTTCCCTCCGTCCCGGGCTCTGCTTTCGTTTGGTTTTTTACCAGACTGTCGTAGAAACAGAAAACGTAGAGACAGAAAATGTAGACAGAAAACGTAGAAACACTAAACGTAGAGACAGAAAATGTAGTGACAGAAAATGTAGACAGAAAACGTAGAAACACTAAACGTAGAGACAGAAGACGTAGATATTAAATCGCAATCTAGACTTCATAATTACACCTCTGTAGATGTTACCAGTTTGAGTGGAGTCAGTTTATCTGAGGTGAGGACAAAGACTCCTGATGACGACGCTGTCATGTGATTGGTGCAGAGTGGGGTCCTGCCTGTTACAGTGGAAGTGTTAAGAGCAGTTACTGATGAGCACCTGAGCTGTGGAAAAATCACCCTCAATCCAACCGACATACTGTGCTGTTTCTCCCATCACCTGTTGTGGCAGTTTGAAACCACAGAGTGTGTGTCCTCTATCTGTAATATTTTGAGCAGATTACAACGAGGACTGTCACTGAGCACAAGAGCTCTCAGCTCTTACAGGTAAAGCACCTCCTCCCAAGGGACAACAGCTCAAACAGTACAGGAGACCCCTCCTCTGTCTGCATGGCTGCTGTATGGATCATACACTGTCTGGTTGTTTTACTGAAGGTGTTTTCATGGCAGGTTTTTATCCGTGGGAGAACTTCACCTGCAAAGTGACCACTTAAAGTCTGTAATCACAAGTAACTGTGCCACACACAGACATCAGTGATCTACTCACACTGTGTTTAAATCAAGTCTACAAAAACACACCAAGCAAACAAAGGTTTTTTATTATCAATAAGAAAGAAATAATACTTACACCTTAAAGGAGCTGGAGATCTCAGCTGAAAGAAACAAAAGACGGGGAAGTCGCTGAGCCAGCTGTGCAGTGGGTCATCACACCCAGCTCAACTGAAACTGAAACTAAACTAAACTAAACTAAATCTGAAAACTGAACCACCGCCAATCTCCAACTCAAACTAAAATAACAAAACCAAACAAGTAACTGAGGCTGGAAACAAAACAGGAAGAAAACCATCCTGCACTGCTGCTGTGCTGCTGTGGGCGTGTCTCTGTGTGTCTCCGCCCCTCAGCTCCCTTATTGTCTCCTCCCACTCTCAGGTGCTGCACTCAGGTGAGACAGAGAGGAGCGAGAGGGGGGAAAGAAACAACCACCACACACACTGTGGTGTTCAGTACAATAACCCATAATGCAGAGCCACACACACCTGGTTTACAAACTCTCACACTACTCCTGCAGAATAATCCAGGTCTGATTAATCCAGTCGTGTGCTCAGTGCTTCACAAACACATGCACATTTGCTAAAATGTGTAGTACCCCGTCCTAAGTGTGTCTGAGTGTGCACGTGAGTATGAGCTCCACTAAAGTGTTTAAACACACTTGTGTGCCCAGACACGCTACATGACCATACGTAACACTGTTTATACTGACGTGTTTTAATTGTAGTGTTTAAGTTCAAATGTGTGCGCCGATCATCCGACTGTATAAATCAGACCTGGATTGTCCTGCAGGAGCAGTGTGTTTTGTTGATTCTGCGTTCACTGTCGAGGCATGAGAAAAACTAGTTTTCTTCAAGTTTTCTTGGCAGGTTGAGGGTAACACATGGTGAGTTATTTACCTACAGATGGTCACTTTGCAGGTGAAACTTTCCTTTTAAGCCTTAAAAGTTTCCAGAGATCAGTTAAAACTGTGCATGAACATTAAACTCTGTCTCAGCAGTTAACAGTTTCTACAGTCAGTGCTGCTTTTTATTTTAACCTTCAGGAAGAAACGGCTGCTTTTTGCTTTTTGTTGCTTTAATTGCTTCCTGTAATTAAGTTTCCTTAAGCTTCCCTCTTCAGCAGATATATATATGTATGTATATATACACATATGTATATGTGTTGCTGAGTCTGGCAGTGCATGCAGTGTACGACGCTCACACATATATCACAGGTGTTACTGTATATTCAGCATTTTACCACCCGGGTTTGTTTGTCCTTCAGTTATTACCATTATTCTAACTGAGCAGATATTTGACAGATTGATTCATATCACTTTAAGTCTTAACTTGAATCAGTTCAGCTGTCGCAGGTGAGTTATCAGAGATGTTTCCTCTTTACCTCGACAACATCAGATCATTATTTAATCAACAGATGAAAACACCTTAAATAATCAGTTAAACTGTCTGTGAGTCTCTTCTCTCTCTGTGTGTCTGTGATGATGGTCCTGCTGTAGGTGGATGTAGTTTTACTTCCTGGCCGACATGTTTCCTGTGATGAGGGAACGTCGGCCATGTTGTTAGCTGGTTAACTGACTGTGTTTCTTTCTGTCCTCCTCCAGTCCGGACTGCCCACCAGGAAAGTCAGGAAGAAGGTCAAGGTGGATACCTCCAAGTTCATGACTCCATACCTGGCTCACAGCCAGAAGATGATGGAGCAGTACAGCCATGTGAGTAACACGCTTCAGTTTTTTTTTTTTTTTTCTAATCACAATCAGTGCTTAAGTCTCGTCCGGGGGCGGAGCCAGATGTTTTAACATTCAGGGATCAGTCTAAACCCAGCGGGGCTCCAGGGGGGAAACTCTCATTGTCAGCAGCTTTGAGCCTGATTTTATTACTGAACGTCTAAAATCTGAACATCATTTAGGAAAAACATGAAAGTTACCAGAGAAAATAAAAATCATCCTGCAGAGCCATCGTTTTATTTAGTGTCTAATTTCTCTCCAACTGTCTGAAACTAGGACACAACAAATGTTGAGGATGAATCATTTTCACTCCTGCTTCCTACAAACAGACGAAACTGTCTCATATTACTATTTTTAAGTTACATAACATAGGTGGGGGGGAATGTGGCATTAATATTCTGAGTGATCCAATAACAATTGGACAGAGCTGAACACACGTGTAAACCACCACCAACATGCACTGTGATGTCATCACTAAAACCACCTGCTGAGGTGATCTCAGACGCATGTTAGGGATGCATGATAATATCAGCACGTCACTGTATCGGCAGAGAGCAGCTTCAAAATGATCGGCCGACATGCTTTTTCTTATTTTGCACATTAGGTGAATATCACAGACACTGGACAGTGTTTCATGTCTCCATCTGCTGCTGGGCCGTCACCATCACAGTCTGTGTGTATAATATGATGTTAATTCACTACCTGATGACGATCACTGACATTAGCTGGGGACAAAGTGGATATATTGATATCAGTTAATTCTCAAATAAATCGTTGTCTATCAGCAAAAACAAAACAGTGTCGTGCATCACTAACACGTATTTATCTTTTGTAGCTGAGTCACTAAGGCGTCTTGATGTGTCCCCGACAAGGACCATGTCACCAGTGCAGGATGTGGTGGTTGTTATGGTGACAGCGTGCTATCGCACTGCTAATTGACCTATGGCTAAGCCACGCCCCCTCCACTCACTCAGACAAACTGTCAACATTCAGTGAGCGGCGCTATGGCAGGTGTCACAGTACACGGCATTTCACAGGAGGCAACTGATGATTTTTGGAGACATAACGATCAGATGTCATTGAGAAGTAACCAAAAGGGCCTAAACTACGCATTGGAGGGATATATTCATCATTTTATTGTTGAGAAGGTCGATGAAAAGCTTAAATTACAAGCCAAAATTTACAGGTCACAGTGTACGCTTGTGAACCGCATCTGGTTGCCGTCACCATCAAAGACAACAAGTTAAAGTGCCACTGAAGTTAAGGTTTTTGGCTCAGAATATGAGAAAAGGATAACGGCCTTTTTACCATCTTTACCAAGAGTGTCTCTACGTTAGTTTGGTGCTACAGTATTTACACTGAATCATTCAGCATAACGTTTGCCAACCTTTGTTATCTCTGCCATTACAGATAAGTTAATGAAGCTAAGCTCCAGAAGTTAACGTTAGCTTAACTAGAGCCCTTTGGACAACAGCTAACAATGATGTACGATCACCAAAGTACAAAACTAGAACAAAATAGGCTAATGAACTCCCAGCAAACAAGGTGACATGATGAACAACGCAGCTAGGAGCTAACGTTAGGCTAACTTTAGCTAACGTTAGCTAGAGATGTTAAAGATAACTTTATATTTCTTTCCAGCAAAGTGACAATATGTTGCCTCAAACACAATGTTGACTTACCTTAGAACAGATGTAGACATCATTGTTAATCTTATTCACGTTGAGTTGATGTTGTGGTCTAACGTTACCACACAACTTTATCCAAAGGAGACACTTTTCTCGGTTGAGATGTGGTTTAAAGTGTAAAAAATACACGTGGTCGCCCAGCCTCTCAGGATACCTTGTGTCAGAGTTGCATGTACCCCATGCACACCGTTTGACCATTTTTAAACTTCAAATCTCAGAAAAAGCTCATAAAACTGAACAAAACTGACTTTCTGTAATGCATTTCAATGGACGTCCAGGCAGAGAATGTCCCAGTGTATGGGAATGGCTATACGCACTGTGATTGGCTCATTGCGTTTGAGGGTGGGACTTAGCCATAGGTCAATTTTATGATGAGATGGACGAAGTGTTGCGTAACGTCCATCGTTTTGCCTGATGAAAGAAGACGTGTTGGATTCTATCGTTTAACTGTTTGACAGCATGTGTATATGCAGCGCACACTGACAGTGGATGTGTTGCTGAACATCAGACAGATGAGTATTAATGTGAGGATAACCTGCACCTTTACCCCCCCGCCCCCCACCCTGACCCTCCCACCCTCCCACTGGTACTGCTGAGTCTTTGGGGATTAATGTGGCAGGGTTAGAGAAGAGTTTCATACAGTACTGCATCATGATGATGGATAGATGAGTTGAAAAGCAGTGAGAGTGAATTAGATAATACGTTAATTATAACAAGATAAATTGAGATAAAACAAAAACAAAGAAGGGTCGCTAATCAGCTCGTCAGCCTCAGTCAGTGGTCACTCTCATCATCTTTTAAATAGATGGTCCAGATTGTCCTGAATGTTTGCAAGGAGCCTTCAGGAGTATCTGATATTATGAAGTTTGATGAAACACACAGAGTCTGTAATCAGTCACATACAGCTGGGAGGAACTTGTTCCTTCCAAGAGAGATGACTGAGACGTCTGGCAGTCAGTGAGGTCAATGATATGACCTCACAACCTCATGTTTCAGGTCTGAGTCCAAATAAGGCCGATAACAGGTTGGGTACAGTGTTTATCTGAGACGTGGTGATATCCCCAGATGTACTGACACAACCGCCAACGTGACCAGCAGGCAGCTAGTGACAGTGTGGACGTCATAACTGCAGACGGGGCCCTTTGACCTTCTGGTGTAAATGGTGTCAGCAGTGTCAAAATTATGAGGTCACAGGTGTGAATGGTGATGTGTCTCAGCCGTCCACTTGTGTTCAGACCTGCTGTAAACAGAGTGAATGTTTCACTGACACATTGGAATCCATCCCATAATAATCTCAGCAGCTCCAACTGCAAATCAAAGCAAAGTAAATGTGGTTTAAAACTGAGAGGACTCAAGACCACATAAATCAGATAATTGACCTGTTTATGTGTTGTGATTTCCTGCTGACTGTCCTGACCTCACTGGTGTCTCTTCCTACAGAACAAATACCGGCATGCGTACGACCTGTCCAAAGGGACGCCTCCTGCCTACAGCGCTGATACTCCTGAAATGCTTCGCATCAGGAAGGCCCAGGAGCAGCTCAGCGAGGTACGACTCAGGGGGCTGAGGGCTGGAGGGCTGGAGGGCAGCTGGGACGGACCGTCGCTGGTTTGAATCCTGTCTGAAATGAACTGCAGTGTAAAAAAGTTCTGCATTCAAAAGCAACTAAATAAACTTTCTTAAATCAACGTATCCAATGTAAACATACTACGAGTAACTAAGTGCAGTAGTTGAGTAAATGTACAGTCAGTTACAGTCTGCTGCTGCTGTAATGGCACTATAGACTGTGATATGATGGATGTTGAGCAGAGTTAATAAAATGATTTCTCTTTACTGAATCATAACTCCTCAGACTTTCTGTAATCATGATTGAACATTAACGACACGTGTGGTCATCGACAGGTTAAATACCGCATGGAGGGGAACAAGGCTCGGACGACCAGCTTGTACGACGGAGAGGCCAAAGAGATCGCCCACGTCAAGCGTGTGTCTGAACTGATCAGCAAGGTGAGTCTCCTCAGTTTGTCACTGTGAACCAGGAGGTGAATGAAATGATGTGAGTGTGGTGTGTTTGGTCATGTCCTCCAGGTCCTGTACAGACAGAAGTGGGATGAGACGAAGGACCGGTACCTGCTGCCTCCTGATGCTCCTGAACTCGTGCTGGCTGTGAAGAACGCTGCCAACGTCAGCAAGGTGAGCTCAGGGAGACATTCAGACTCTGCGTCTCACGTCCTGTTATTAGAAAAACACCTGTCGTATGATTAATGTCTGTTTAAAGATATTTAATTCATGACTCTGCACCTCGTTCAGAAACTGTACACGGAGGACTGGAACGAAGAGAAGACCATGTTCTACCCGTACAGCGACAGTCCCGAGCTGCGCAGGGTGGCTCAGGCTCAGGAGTGCCTCAGTGACGTGAGTTCACTTCACTGATCATCTGTCCACTTATTAACTGCAGTAACATGTCAAATAAACACGTCCAACACTCAGAGTTTGGATCGTGTGAAGTTTAAATACCTGTGAAGTGAAAAGGAAAACACAGTATTGTGACATCAGCTCTTTCTGGGGGTTTGTTAATATGATAATATTTAATATGAGAGTTTATTAAATTCTGTCAGAAACTTTTCTTAATCTTTTATATTGCAATTACGGAATTTATTATATATTTATATGTCGACAGATAGATAAACATTTTATGATGTTAATTATATATTATTACATTAGTATATAATTTTACAATTATAATTAATAATTTAATTAATTTAATTTAAATTGTGATTTTCCAACATAAATACAATAAATGAAAATGTAATAAAATGGAATTAAAAGCCAGAATAATAATAAAACTCGATTGATTAAAACGACAAACCACCAATAAAAATTATGATTACTGATCGACCTGATCAGCTGATTTCTCTCGACTCTGCTGACAGATTGTCGTTCAGCAGCGACCTCGCAGTCACACACATTTTCTACACCTTTATATTGTTTTATTTTCCTGTCAGGTGTGTGTGTGTGTGTGTGTGTGTGTGTGTGTGCTCAGTCAGATGGATCATATGTTTCAGTTCACACTGCAGCAGTGCAGATGGTCATCTGTCCCCCCCTCCTCAACATGTAGTCTTTTCTGCTGACGTAGACAGGCCATCAGCTGATGTAGAAACGCTCTGTGTGTGTGTGTGTGTGTGTGTGTGTGTGTGTGTGTGTGTGTGTGTGTGAGGCTGCTCTGAGGTCACGTATTGATGTGGGAGAATGAACCATGTCAGTAAATCTGACCCCCCCCCCACAGGTTCGCTACAAGAAGGGTCACGATCAGCGCAAGGCGAAATACACCTCCCTGGCTGATCCTCCTGAGGTGGAGCTGGCCAAGAGAGTGGAACAACAGCGCAGTGACGTAAGCACCACCATTTTAACCTGACTCTGAATACACAGCTTTCTGTGAGAAGGAGGAAACACACGAAACTAAGATTTAAATTATGGAAACATGTGCAGACTGTTTTTATACACACTGTCCCGTTTAATAAGAGAATTATAAACCTCATTGCACTGAGCAGGGGGGTCAAACATGTGGCCCGTGGGCCAGAGACGGCCGTTTAGAAACAACCAGAGATGAGCGAGTACATCATTATCTGTATCTGTGTCTGTACTCAGAATGGGTGGAGTTAATACTTAAGTAGGTGTGATTTAAATCTAAAGTGGGTGAAGCCTAACCAGAGGTTGATATTATATACAACAGCTTTTATATATTTGATATTCATTAGAAAATAATTTACAGAACAATCTCAGTGTGGAGCTTCAGATCAGTTCTGATCTGCTGAAATGAGGATTTTCCTTCATCAGCACAGATACTGACACTTCCACTCGTGTGATCCTTGTACTCGTTAAAAGTACATTATCTGAACTGGATACTCGTTTCATCTGATTATTCGGCTCAACCCAAGAAGCTAACATCATGGCTCGGCTCTACATTCACACAGTGTATGTAGAGAGTATTATGTTGCGGTGTATCAGACCACTGCAAAAGGTGCCACTCACTGACACAGCAGCTGTATTTGATGAGCTGAGAATGAGAACAGGCTGCTGTCAACCAATCAGCAGACTGCAGTGTTTCTAGCTCCGCCTCTTAGTATGGGATCGGCGTGCGAGGCGCCTCAGCAGAGAGGTGACGAAACACAGCACAGAATGTTTTTGTTGTTACCATCCACCACTTGACAAAATAAACCTAAAGATAACTAATGTTTAACAAACTGAAGTGAAGCAGAGTGCTCGATGGACACAAGCTGACAGAGCGACCCTGAGCCGCCGACCACCTGCTCTCTGATATTAGCCGCCACACTAAGCTGAAGGGAGAGGCCGACAGTTCTGCGACATGACACAGATTCCAGTCATTCCCAGTGTGTTTCATCAAACATCACAATGTCTAACAAGTTGCTCTGTCTTCATGTAACATGTAAAACACATGTGCTAATGTTGACTGTCGTTTGTCTCCACAGCTGAAATACAGGGAGGACTACAATAAAAATGTGAAGGGTCAATGGTGCGAGACGCCATACTTCGACGTGGCCACTGCCAGGGTGGCGATGGAGAACTTGAGTAATGTGAGAGCTCACTGACACAGGTGCAGCCTTTGTTTCAGATTTATTTCCAACTCTGAATCTAACCGTCGATCTTTTGTCTTTTCAGAGACATTACACGCAGAAATATGAGGACGAGAAAGATCAACTTTATTTCATGCAGACAGACACGCCCGTTTATGACACCAACAAGAAGGCTCGTATTGCTGCCAGTGAGGTAGGTCTCACGCACACACACACACACACACACACACACACACACACAGAAAGGTATCAGAGTATTTTTATAGGTCCTATCTCATGTGGAAGACACGACAGAGAGCTGACCCGTGTCTCAGAGCAGAGTGTGAGTCAACACACTGACGCAGGGACACACTGCATTGAGCCCACACATGACTGAGAGATCCACATTTGGCTTGTTCTCACTGCACCAACTGAGTGCGTAGTTTCATCAGCCCTCAGTTACACACAATATCAGACGATATCTGCTCCTGTATCCCTGCGCCCACACACTGACACACCGTGCACACACGCCTCACTTCAAGATAAACACACATGCTTTCCCACCATGTCCAGCTCTACCAACGTCATGTAATGAGTCAGAGCGAATAACCTTCAGCGATTGTTCTCCATGTTTCTGTTTCCAGGTCCAATACAAGAAGGAATACGAGAAGAACAAAGCGCAGTCTGACTACAACACGCTTCCCGCCACGGAGAACCCTCTCCTCCGACAGCTCAGATACGCTGGCACCATCCTCAGTGATGTAGGTGTTTAACGTCACAGCTGGTTTGATGAAGAATGATGAAAACAAATGATGAAATCTTAGATGTCGCACAGTAGGACTATAACTATTAAACATTACTGGTCCAACACAGTCGCCACAATAAATGTTGGCATTGTGCGTTTCTGCAAACCACAGATACGTTACATTCAGACTATTATGTGGCAGATACACTGAAACATTTCTTTATGATTCAATATTGCTGTGTTTGACTCGTGCTTAGGATCAGGAATAAGAACCAGATCATGGTTTGGTTTAAAGTACCTGCTCTTAGTAACACAGTCCCCGCTGGAAACACAGCGTGGAGCAGTGTGTGACGGCTACCTCACTGAACTGCTGCAGCTCACGCGTGTGCGGTGTTCACACAGACAGCGTGGCTGCTATGAGTTCTGTATTTCTACAATTAAAAGCTGACACTCAGGGCGCCCACTAGCTCACCTGGTAGAGCGAACGCCCCACATACTGAGGCTCTGTCTTTGCCGCAGCAGCTCCAGGTTCAGTTCCAACCCTTTGCCCTTTGCCCTTTGCCCATCACTCTGGATCTGTTCTGTCTAATCAAGGCAAAACAAAGCAGATTCTCCACAAATGATGAAGCTGTGCAGCCACTGTGTCGTCACCAAGACGGTCCTGCAGATATCTCAAAAATAAAAAGCCTTGTGATAAGAACTAAAGAGATTCTGTCCACAGAAACATCTCAGGGCTTTAATTTTGAAACAGAAACACGAAGTGTCGAGTTAAAAATACATTTTAATATCTTTTTTGTCACGTCTGTGACAGAGTCACTGAAACTGCAGTGAAAAGTGTTTTAGAGTCAAAATGATTCTCCAAACATTTCAAATTTATTAATGGATAGCCCCTTCAGATGAGACATCTTGTATTCTATGGGGTCCAACACAAAACACAAAACACACAATACAACACAACACAACACAACACAACACAACACAACACAACACAACACAGCAATCACAAAACACAATCATAACATGCACTAGGCCCTTCAATACCGACCCACCCACACAACATTTCTGTCAGCCCACAACACCCATGTAAAATGAGGGAACAAAATAAAAACAAAACAAATCCAAAGCATATGTTAGCTTTGATGCAGCAACAGTCATAATAGTAATATTAGCAATATAAACGTCATCTTCCCTTTCTGACTGTGCTGAAAACTGCACACAGACAACAACGGGCACACTTGAATTTCCCGATGTTGAGCAGCAGCTGCTCCTGAAGGCAGCGTGAGTGCTCTGAGCTGTTAACACAGGTGCTGAAAACACCCTCCTACAAGTTTTACAATGCACACGCTGCTCATCAGGGTGTTGAAAACAACTGCTGGTTTTGGCACCATCCTGGCTGGAAATGCAGTGATGTCTCTGTCACTTTTCGTGGCACTGTTCCGACACTGAAGGGTCGCTAAAAATCAGCCACATTTGGTTCGTGAAAAGCTGCTGAAGGACACCCTTTGGGACCCTAAAAAACAGCCACATTTTGGGGCTTTACGTCAGTGGAAACAGATGTTTGGCTAAAAACAGCTGGTTTTGTTGTTTGTTGGTGTTGAACAGAGCTCAGCAGCTCGACAGGTGTCTCACCAAGGTGACACGCCCTCCACCATCCCCTCCACCTGCTGATCACAAAGTCACCTCAGACACTATGTCTCTTTAGAAACGTTGATATGATGTGCATGAAATGTACAAATGTAATGTGGTTACAGAAACATGCAATGTTTTCTCTCTGTGACGGGGCTGACGTGTCTCTGTGTCTGTTTCCTGTGTAGACGGAGACGTTGCCTGCATGAATTTTTAAGACTGTTGAGTAAAAAATGAGGTGACTGGTGAAGTGATGGAGGTGGTGTGTGTGTTATGTAGAGCGTGTGAGTGGATTACTATATCAGTGGTGCTAATGAAAGCGTCAGTCTCCGTCTCATACACTCACTCAATTCATTTAAACTGAATCAAGTTACCGGTCTGAGTGATGTGTTGTCTGCTGTGTGGACAGATGAAGCGTTTCGCTGTGTTTCTAAGTGTTTGCTTATTTGAGTTGTGATTTTTCTGCTCATCATGTTTCATATCGTCTCTGCAGAAAGTTTATAAGGCCCAATATGAGAAGTCGAGAGGTTTCAGCATCAACTACTGCGACACGCCCAAGTTTCAGATGGACTCCGTCCTCAAACAGTTCACTGACGTAAGACTCATCTATCAGTTGATTTCTTTTTATCATAAACTGAGGATACTGTTGATTTTCCCTTTTTGAATGACATCTCCATCCTGTGTGTTCTTCAGACACATTACAAAGATAAGTATGACAGTGAGGTGAAGGGTCACTACATCGGCAGCTACGAGGACGTCTACACGGTTCACTGTCAGAACATGGAGCAGATGAAGAACGAGGTAAATCACTCTGCACTTTCATCTGGATTCTTCTGAATCAGATCACCAGTGTCAGAGTGTGTTATAAACATATGTCATATGTTTCATGTTGCAGCATCTGTACAAAGCAGAATATGAAGACATAAAGACCAGATGTTTCTTCCCTCAAACCGTCACGCCTGAATATGAAGCGATAAAGAATCTTCAGAAGTGTAAAGATGTGAGTACGAGAGGCTTATTACATGTTTCTTTACACTGAAGCAGAGTCACGTTTCTCTTGTTTTAGAAAATGTTTCTGTCTCATGGTTTGCAGAAAGTTTACCGGCAGCATCCAGACAAAGTGAAATTTACACAAGTGGTGGATTCGCCAGTTCTGGTTCAAGCTGCCATCAACGCCCAGCAGCTAAGTGACGTACGTATGACCGCACAGACCGCCTCCTCTCACACAACATATATAAGAGGTGAAATCAGTGATGTGTGGACCGATTCTTTTCACTGTATCAGCTCCTGTGAGTTGAAACGTGTAAACACATCAGACCTTTCACGTTTTGATTCTTTACACAAACTATAGAGTCAGTTTCTCTGTTACAGTTCATACATGTTCGACAGTTACAGATCCTCTCCTCCGTGCGTGACCAGTCATCACGTTTAAGTTTATATTAACAATGATTTTAACGCACTGATTGAGCTCCTCACATGTTCATAGGCCAGCTACATCAGGTCAATATGAGGTCACAGAAACATCACTGACCAACAATCTGTTGATCTTTGTAGAGCCAGTTACCTCTGCAGCTTTGTGCTGCGCTCATGTGGCATCTCCTTTTCTCTTTGTTATCAACATGCTGTTTAAATAGAGCCCTGAGGAAAAGCTCTGGGGCCAGTTGCACAAAGCACCTTAAGTTTTCTCCTTAAGTCTGACACTTAAAACTTACATGAAACACCTCAGCAATAACTGACAGGAAAGATCCCGTCACATGAAGCCGCAGAGCGATCACTGACTGCAGGGCTGGGAGAGCACAACTTTGGTAAGTCGTGTGATCCAGCTCCAGGTGGTCACAACCATAAACTGACTTCCGCTAAAATGTAAAGTGCAAAATCAGTTACTCATCATTAAGCGTGTCCGTCAGGTTCCTCTGGTCGTGGAAGACTCCTCTCAGGATGCCTTAATATTTCTCCTTTATCTCCATAAACTCAGACATGTTGTTGTTTAGATGGAGTCACAGGGACTTTACAGGTTAACACACTCTGAGCAGTTCCTTAAGTCTTCGAACAAGATAAAACAACAACTTTAAATCCTTAAGTGAACATTTTAAGGAAACCTTAAGGATAGAGACATAAGGTGTTTTGTGCAACTGTCTTTTTCATCAAAGAAACATTAACTCAGACTTTAAGCAAAATCTTAACTTGAGGTGCTTTGTGCAACCTGAAGCCATTTTTACATAGTGGCCAAACATGGAATGACATTTTCCCATTGACTTACACTGTGAACGAGACATCTGTCAGTCAGTGGACTCATTTTCCTGAACATCACAGCTCTCTGCTAAATGACTTGATTGACTATCAGGATGTGATCCGTTCAGTCCGATAACATTTTGGAGATGATGTCATAAGATCATTATCTACCATTACCTGTCATTTGAGTTGCATGTTGGTGTACGTCTACATGTTGTTGTGGACAAATGTTTTTTAATGTATCATCCACTTACTGAGAGAAACTGGTGAAATCACAGCTGATGGTGGAGATCAGATTCTCCTGGATATGCAGATCACCTTAAAATGTGCCCGATCATCCCGTCGCCCAGCTGTCTTTCTGTGGGCACCATGGAAACTGGAGAGCCATCTCTCTGTGGTATAAATAGCAACAAGCATCCAGTTGGCCCAGAATAAACCCTGTGATCAGAGAGGAGCTGAGGAGGCAGGGAGACGGACCGGCTGACACAGACCGGCTGATACGCTGCTGCCCTCCACTGACAACACATCAAATTACACTTTATAACTTGAGTCTGTAGTCTGAAATATTTACTGTAGGATGATGACATACTCTGTGAAGAGAGAATGAAACTAACACCTGAATGTCTGTTTTTATTCCATCAGAAGCAAACAGCCCAAAACACTGACCGCTGCATGAAAACACCTGAAGTCTGTCCCGTTAAATAAAACATAATTTCATCACTGTGTGTTTCTTTTTCAGTTGAACTACAAGGCGAAGTACGAAGACATGAAGTTCAAGAACTGTCTGCCCCCAGATTATCCCTTCTTCATCCAGTCCAGAGTTAACGCTTTTAACCTCAGTGATGTGAGTCACTGCTCCACACGTCACCTCCACTCATCAGAGATATTTGACAATGTGATGGAAGATTTCTAATGTCCTGAACGACTTGATTCTCTTCTTCCAGAACTGTTATAAGTATGACTGGGAGAAACTGAAAGCCAAGAAGTTTGAGGTCAGAGGTGACGCCATCCCGATCCTCGCTGCCCGCGCTCACACTAACATCATCAGTGATGTGAGTATGCTTCAGTATGTGTGATCACAGTATAACTGTTTTAACAACGTGGTAACGTGTCGCCCTCTGCTCCTCGCTGCAGGTTAAATATAAGAAGGAGTACGAGAAGAACAAGGGACAGATGGTCGGAGCCCTCAGCATCAATGACGATCCCAAAATCTTACACTCTGTTCACGTTGCCAAAATCCAGAGTGACGTAAGTTATCGGCTTGTCTCATTATTACAGTTCTTACATCTCAGTTAATATTATTGTTTCAGAGCTGAGAGAAGAGGGCAAACTCTTTTAATGCTTTATTTAAAGAACAAATACTGTAGAAGAAACAAACAGAAGCTAACACATATGAAGTCATGGGATGATCAGTAAAGCAATGCAAATTCAAAACAAAGTATTTCACACAGATTTATTATTATATATATTATGATATTATTTTACATGAAATAATGATGGAGGATCTGTCTCACTGACCGCATGAACACCATTCTTCTCTTTTTATCTGTAATCTAAGTTTTTATTTATTTATTTACACGCAGACAGACAGTATCATTACCTTCACGTGTGTTGACCTGTGGTGGAGTTGTTCCACAGAGAGACATATAGCTGTCTATGGCTGCGTCAGAATAAGCCAGCACTGGGTTTGAACAATAAGTATGTGTGTTGGTAGTTGAAGCAATTGAAGAAACAGCCAAAGGTTTGAAAGGACTCAGAGCTCAGCTCTGGATCTGTTAATCAGTTGAGACATTTCAGACAGTAGATTGTATCGACAGACTCAATGTGCTCAGTCTTTACTCTGGAGCACACCCTTAAACGATCTCTGACTGATGTCTCCACAGCGTGAATATAAGAAGGACTATGAGAAGATTAAGACCAAGTACCACACACCTCTGGATATGATGTCCGTCACTTTGGCCAAGAAGTCCCAGGGCATCGCCAGCATGGCGGGGTACAGGAGCATCAGCACCAACTTCTTCCTCCCCCCCGACAGCGTGCTGTTGGACCTGGCCAAGAAGGCCAACATCATCCAGAGTGATGTGAGTACAGACATGAGCTGATATGTGTTAATCATAATGCAGAGTTTGTACTTGATTATTAAGAGATATATTCTGACACTGTTTGTGTTTTGTGTCTGTGTGTCACAGAATGAGTACAAGGCCGACTACAACAGCTTCACCAAGGGAACTCCCTGGGTCCCCTTTGGCTCCTTGGACGTGGAGAAGAATAAGAAAGCTGCTGAGATCCTCAGTGAGGTATGTGACCAGCAGCATCACTTCCTGTCCACACTGCCCCTCTTTACTAACTAAATCATGTGGAGTGAGATGTTTGAAACCCAACAGGACCATAACCCAGTCTGTGAACTCTTTGGTTTAACTTTGAAGGAGTCCAGTGATATCTGACCAAACAAAGCCCACGTTATGTGAACGGAGCTTTCACCTCTCTGTCTGATCCTCCCATCCTTTTCTCACTGGGTCAAAGATGTCATGTATTTCTTAAAGCAAGAAAAAAATCAAAGTAAAAGGTCCTTTATTGAGATATGGATTAGTTACAGGAACCCCTCAATAAAGAATAAGGTATATATAAATATAAATGTATAAATGTTGCATCCTCCATTTTTGTGGGATAAAGAAAATCATTAAAACATATTTACAAAAAGAAAAACATAATTAATATTCGGTGAGATACGTCACATTACGTGTCATGTAATTACTCATGGTATGTTCTTGTTTTGTACAGAAAAAATACAGACAGCACCCGGACACCATCCCCTTCACCTCCATCGATGACCACCCCATCATGATGCAGGCCAAAGTCAACCAGCTCCAGAGGAGCGATGTGAGTCCGTCGTCACTCTCACAGATCATGAGATCAGATCTCTGCAGATCGTTGTGATTGGTGATTAAAGTGCAGCTCATGTGACGTCTGTCCTTCTCATCTAACAGCTCTTCTATAAGAGAGGTCTGGAGGAAGTCCATCAGAAGTACTCCCTGCCTCCTGACGTCCCCGAGTTCCTCCAGGCCAGGTGTAACGCCTACAACATCAGCCAGGTAAGGGACAGAAATACTGACACATCACTTTTATTTCATATTGAACAAATGTTTTCTTATGGCACACATTTGAGGGGTAAGTTTAAATAAATGTGAGTCTAAATGTAATGTTATATACAGATGTCAAGTAGCTGTGTGTGTACTGACATTAACTGCAGGTACTAAAGTGTGTGTGTGTGTGTGTGTGTGTGTGTGTTTGCTTTAGTAAAGTTTAGTTTGATCATTTTCCAGCTTCTACAACTCAAATAGACACAAGAAAAGATATTAATAAATAATAATAAGTCATTACTTTTGAAGCAGTGACGATCCAAAGTGAGTTCTGCTGATGGAGAAGGCGTACGCTGAAACTTCAGTCCTTTTTTTACAATAACTGTTTGTACTGTTCCCTTTAGATTTATACAGTGAAAATCAAAGAAGCAAGCAAAACAACAAAATATGTTTATCTACACAAATGTTGTAACAGTACTTTAACTTTATTAAAAGAGTACTTGAACTTTGGTGGTTTATTATTTTAGGAGTCTACAGTATTTCAGAGGAGATTTCAGAGGAGATTTTTGAAATATGGATATGTATCTGTAATTGTGTTAGATCTACATATAAGCTGCTGGGTACACGACTTTCTCCGAGGGTATGAATAAAGTATTTTCTGTTCTATTCTATATTGCATATCACAATATAGGCTGAAAAAAAATCAGTTATGGGGCATATCGCCCAGCCATATGAACAATATAAGCAACTGAGGACCCAGCACTGAGCCTTGTGGAACTCCACATCTGACCCTCAGCAATCGGATTTATGTGCGTGATGCTGTGAAGTAGATTAATGCCAGACTTATTCAGTGTTATATCTTTTCTTATTGTTTCTATGTGTAATTGTCATTTCAGAAATACTACAAGCTCGCCTGGCAGAAACATCTTCTCAAAGGTTACGACATGAAGCCCGATGCCATCCCTGTGGTCGCTGCCAAAGCTGCCAGACATGCTGTCAGTAATGTAAGTTTCCTGAATGACTCTGACAGACTTCACAGAGTGATGCTCAAACACCATCCTAACATGCTCTGTACCAGATATACGGTACACATTGGACATCACGCATTTGTTACTGAATAATCACAGACCACATCCCCTTTAACCTGCAGGTCCAATACAAGAAGGCGTACGAGAAGGCCAGAGGTCACCACGTTGGCTTCCGCAGCCTGCAGGACGACCCTCTGCTGGTTCACTACATGGAGGTGGCGAAGATGCAGAGTGACAAGAACTACAAGAAGGACTATCACAAGGCCAAGCTGAAGTACCACACCCCCGTGGACATGATGAGTGTGGTCCACGCCAAACATGCCTCAACAGTGCAGACCTACGCCGGCTACAAGCAGGACAACCACAAGTACTGTCTTCTGCCCGACGCTATGAACCTGGAACTTGCTCGCAACATGAACTTTAACGCCAGTGATGTAAGTTTACTTTTCTGTCATGATGGAGGTGAATACTTTGTGCCTTGGCTTAAAGACACAACTCTTGATTATTAACATTTCTCTCATGTGTCTCTTTGACTTTCCAGAACAACTATAAGCAGGAGTATGAGACCTGTATCAAGGGCATCGGCTGGGTTCCCATTGGTTCCCTGGAGGTGGAGAAGGCCAAGACGGCAGCAGCAGCTCTGAATGAGAAGAATTACCGCCAGCACCCAGAAACCCTCAAATTCACCAGCACCATGGACTCCATGAGCATGGAGCTGGCCAAGACCAACGCCAAGATCATGAATATGGTGAGGAGCAGGAAATAGAATCTCTTTATCTAAACTCCTTTGTCAGAGCAGACGTTAAACAGTCTCTCCACTGTAACTATGCAGAAAGAGTACAAGGCCAGCGGAGAGAAGTTCATGCACACCTACCATCTCCCTGCTGACGCTCCTGAACTGTTGCAAGCCAGATACAACGCCGTCAACATCAGCCAGGTCAGCTGCAGAGTCTTGTCACGTATTTTTGTGCTCATGTTAAATGTATATAAATCAAATTGTTGTAACTCTGATGACTTTCTGTAGAATTACTACACCTACGCTCATCGTAAAGATCTGCTCAAAGGACACCATGTGAAGGAAGACGCCATCCCTGTCGTTGCAGCAAAAACTTCCAGAGACATTGCCAGTAATGTAAGTTGTGACTTTGCCTGTAATTAAGCTCATTCAAATGTAAATGAATCCAAAAATGTTACTCATATCTAATGTTTGTTCTTTACACAGTACAAATACAAGCTGGCGTACGAGAAGGCCAGAGGTCACCATGTCGGCTTCCGCAGCCTGCAGGACGACCCTCTGCTGGTTCACTACATGGAGGTGGCGAAGATGCAGAGTGACAAAAACTACAAGAAGGACTATCACAAGGCCAAGCTGAAGTACCACTCCCCCGTGGACATGATGAGTGTGGTCCACGCCAAACATGCCTCAACAGTGCAGACCTACGCCGGCTACAGACGGATCCCTCACAACTATCTGCTCCTGCCCGACAACTTGCAC